CACCTAGGGGTCGGGCCAAATTCACCTAGGGGTCGACTTTTTACCAAACCCACTTAACGTTGACATAGCGGTAAATATGTCAAACGTGACATCGAAATGCGCCAGGGTTTCTTGGTGACAATGCGCCAGGGTTTCTTTGTGACAATGCGCCAGGGTTTCTTTGTGACAATGCGCCATGGTTTCTTTGTGACAATGCGCCAGGGTTTCTTTGTGACAATGCGCCAGGGTTTCTTTGTGACAATGCGCCATGGTTTCTTTGTGACAATGCGCCATGGTTTCTTTGTGACAATGCGCCAGGGTTTCTTTGTGACAATGCGCCAGGGTTTCTTTGTGACAATGCGCCAGGGTTTCTTTGTGACAATGCGCCAGGGTTTCTTTGTGACAATGCGCCAGGGTTTCTTTGTGACAAAATCACTGTTTACCCTGCAAATCGGTGTGTATAGCTCATTTTGTGCCGCGCATGCTTCGATTTACGTCATGAACAGGTTCTAACGCTGACGTTTTGCTTTACTGATGAATTATTCCGTTACCGCCTGTGTGATTCTAAAATCATGATGGGACACCATGTTGACAGATTTCCTACGAGATTGAGGATTGTGAATGAACCCTGTGTAATGTGTGAACATTTCACCAATGCACAGTGAAAACAAGACTTTCGTGTGACGATAATGTACTTATACGTATATTTTGTTTAGATGCTCATCACAGATCATCAAAAACTGTAGTCTACATGTATTGTTTATGAACTGCATAAAGAATGTATTAAGCACAATAAAATCTTGCTTTGTTTCGATCATATTAATATATATATATATATATATATATATGTGTGTATGTGTATATATATATATATTTATACCGGTATATATATATTTATAAACATTTATTTTATTAGGTAAGTTAAATCACATATGGGCTCTCGAAGAGTTCACTCGCTATCAAACTGGCCTGTAAAAAAACTGTAGTCTACATGTATTGTTTATGAAATGCATAAAGAATGTATTAAGCACAATAAAATCTTGCTTTGTTTCGATCATATTAATATATATATATATATATATATATATATGTGTGTATGTGTATATATATATATATATTTATACCGGTATATATATATTTATAAACATTTATTTTATTAGGTAAGTTAAATCACATATGGGCTCTCGAAGAGTTCACTCGCTATCAAACTGGCCCGTAAGCCATTTGGGCATGATTTGGGGAATCGCCAGTCCTTATTTAAGTTAAAGTGATATAAAGCAATTTGGGTTGGCCAGTACTGATTTAAGTTTAAGTGATATGAAGTATAATGAAGCAACTTGGATTGGCCAGTCCTGAATGAAGTGAAATAAAATATATGAAGCCATAATTTGGGTTTCCAGTCCTGATTAAGTGATATGAAATATAACGCCATTTGGGTGGACCAGGCCTGATTTAAGTTTTATTAAAAGAAATATTGAAGTTATCATATTACGGTAATTGAAAAGGGGACATAATTTCAAGATAAGAATCATTGACAAAAAGTAAAAAAAATTGAATTTTCTAGAAGTCCCGTTTGTTACGTTATTTTCTTAATGATGTCCGCAAAACTATTCAAAAATTATTATTATTATATTATTGAGTAACTGAGCAACTTCCTAGGATTCATTTGAAGACTTCTAAAACAAAATTAGAGAACAGGATGAAGTTGAAGACTACTAAAACAAAATTAGAGAACAGGATGAAGTTGAAGACTACTAAAACAAAATTAGAGAACAGGATGAAGTTGAAGACTACTAAAACAAAATCAGAGAACAAGGTGAAGTTGAACAAGACACAAAAGCAACTTTGCCAAATGTGAACTTTTAACTTTCATTTGTTGGTACCGGTATGTAATAAAAACAATCAACCTTCAGACGAGCTAACGGCCTTAAGCAGACCTAATATCAAATTATATAAAAGTAAAATAATCCAGATGGATGTGGTATAGATCTTGGGGCTAGTTCTCAAGCTTGATGGTCACTAAATGTTCCGGACATACATCAAGTGGTATCATAATCAAATTCATACGTGATTTCGTTTCCAAAATGACGTTTAATTAATTGCTTAATATTTTTCTGTCTTTCCACATGTTACGTACTTCGGAAACAAATTTCATGTGCTATAAATATAACTTAATATAAAGATAAGAACTTTGGCACTTTCATTTTGGATCCACATTCACACTATAGCGAAGTGCCACTGATTTTCATAACTTGTTTTCGTTTCTTTATTAAATTATATTCTGAAACAGATTGATCAGTTAGTTCTCCTGCTGCACCATCAGGTAGACATCACCTTTTTAAGAGCACATTCCATGTAAAAACATACCTAATAAAAATAACAATACTTAACAATTGTGTGTACAAGTTCCAATATTTTTGTACACTACCCGGTACCCTATTCTTATTGGATCTTTTCTTGTTTTTTTTAATAGGGGTAAGGGGTCTTATTGCAAAGGATCTCAAAATTAAATAGCTTAGGGCCTCTGATAATTGCAACCACACTCTCGAAACATTGACCACAAGCCGTGAACAGAAATTTAATTTAAAAACACCAAAAAATAGCACGGCATTGATAACAGAAATAAAGACACTGTCTTTATAACGTAGATTTCAATAGAAGTCATTTCCTCTTAAAGCTTAAGATGTTTTGAAGAGTAGATTCAGAAAAGTGCGTAATTAGCACACAGACTCATTCTTTGAAAACAACACTTAGTGTAATAGACTCACATTGACATGAATAACAAACTATCATTTCAAAGGGTATTTTACAAGAAAAGCCATTTGAGTTGTAAGTTTTTTAATGCATGATTTTAATTTTTTTAAACAGAAAAAAAGAACAAAAAGGATTAAACACAGAACTTAACGTATGCATATGCATGTGGATAACAAATTTCAAGAAAAATCCAAGAATTTCTGATACAAATCTGTCCGACTTTTGATGGTAAGCTTACCAAGTTACAGAACATGGCCTAAATCAATAAAGTATAGCCTCGGGACTCAAGTGAAAATGCTGATAATTGAACACAACCAGGAATTTTAATTTTCTTTAACTTTCTTAATTAGATCTGTATCTTTTTACAAATTTTAGATCCTCTGAAAAACATTGAAAACATAGATACGCCCCCAAAATTGATTGCAAGTGGAATATAGCAACAGCATACTAGAATACATGCATGTTTCTTACTGGCAGCAAACATAGACTACAAGTGCCATTATTTACATCAGGTAACAAGAGGTAATGAAAGCATTTTTTTGTGTGTTACTCCTTCAGTTCAAAGTACCGGTATCAAATAGGAAACATCTTTAAACCGTTAATGAGAGAAATAATTTACTTTTTATTACATACACAATGATTTTTCTGTCAATTCGTTTTTGATACTGGGTAACTATTATTTATGAAATTAAGATGGTCAAGAGCACCAGGTCAATGTTATGTACCAGTCAAGATACCATATATGATTTACAGTATCGCCACAGAATATCTGGTTCCATGGCCATAAAATAGGTAAATGTGACAAATGCTGTGCATTACAGAAACAGGCACACTTGCAATGCAATACATAATATTAATCAATAGTATGATTTAGCCAACACATCAAGACAGCTGGATGAGTCAAGACAGCTGGATGCATCACACAAAAATACAATTAAATTTTGAAATAAAATTTAAAGACTTCAAAATGTTAACATTAAAACTGCAAAAATAAATAATAAGTTGATAAATGTCTTTTACATACCTAGAGATTCACAGGTGGTTAAAGGAACTATTTATTCAATATTTTAATTCCTTAACCAATGAATAAAAGGTTGGATAAGATTTTTGCTATGAAACCTTCTGTTTTGTCTTAGGTCACAGTAAAACCACACAAACATTAAAACTATTCATTTTTTAATTTGTGCCAATTAATTCTAAAAATTTTCCTTACAGACTACCGGTACCAGAAATTCATCTATAAGTTATCAGAAAGCAAACATAAACAGAACAAAACCATGTCATGTTTTACAAGTGCAAGTTAAATCCCATCTGTAGGAACAAAAAATATAATGCATAAACTTGAGAACACTCACAATTAAGTCACTCGTGTTAATACTATGTGAAACTTTAACAACAGAATGAAAGAAAATGCCTTGCCACCATGTGCACCAGACAGAAGACACAGAAAAGAATTTTTCATGAAATCCAGAAGCAACATGGAGCAAATAGTAAGAACTGGCCATGAAAAGAAAAGATCCAAATGAACTGTTCAGAACTCACAGCTCAAACAGGAGTTTCAACATTAATCAATGTCAAAGCTAATTGAACAATTAAAAGTGATAAACACTGAGGTTTTTTTCTCTGGATCGAAAAACCAAGTGTAAAAACACTGAACAAGTAGCAAGACATTCTTTGTGCATTAAAAATTTCAACGTTTTACTGTTTCCGTACGGCATCAATTGATATGGAAGTATTGTGAGACAAATTATATAATCAGCCATATACATAACATATGAACAATTATGATTCATTCTTCACAACATACATCATCGACATGTGAAACAAATTATAGAAAGTATTTCCAATGATCATTCAGTCATTATTAAATATGCTTCACCTTCCCCACATTATTCCATTCATGTAGATTTGCATACTTACTATGGAGACTACAGAAAATCCAGAGCAGATAATTTTACACTGGAAGAAATTCTCCAATTACAAAAAAAAAATCTTAAAAATTAGTTACGGTACCAGGTACTTGATTATGTGAGAAAAAATATATACTTAAAAAGGTTAAACTTAAATGTCCAAGTTGTTTTTCTAGTCTGAACAAAGAGAAATTATTCAATATCCAAACTCCAACAAACACAAAATTATTTACAAACCAAACTGCAAATTTGAAAACAAACATTAAAATATAAATACACAATCAATGAGAGTATGATAAAAAGTAAATTATTTTTCTTTAATTTTTTTATATCTAACCCAACAAAACTTAACACCAAGGGAACTATAAATAGAGAAAAATATATAATTTCAACATAATTTCAGATCTGCTTTTGATATTGAAGCATTATGAACTTTATACAAAATAAGAAATGCAACCACATATCACCACTGACGTGGGTTGCAAGAAAGGCAGCATATACATAAATATTTATGTTATACAAAGCGATACCGGTACAAAAATACACCTTTTACCGGTAGAAAAATACACTTTTAAAGGCAACAAACTAGTTAAATTTCTTTTACAATTCCCTCCAATAATACCACACCATTACTAAACTCAGGGACATCTGCAGTCAATGCCTCACCTTGGTCTTTAACACCGTCACTATCTTCAGTGACTTCACTTTCAAGTAAGACATCACCATCACTTTCCCTTGACACTCTCAGCCACTTCAGTGTCTACCCCTCTAAGGATGACATCTCATACATTTTGAACACATAAAACATTTTAAATGTCAGCTTCTTTTTCAATCGAATCTTTATTTTCAACTGCCTCGCCCACCTCAACATCACTGGCTCTCTGTATCTCTTTATCATCATCATCACCTTTGACATCCTGAGCCCCTTCCTGTATGGAGTCACTTTCATCCTCAATTTCCACTCCATGATCCATTTGGTAAAAGTCCACCACATCACTTGACTCCCCTATGATTTCCTTCTCTTCTGTCACCTTGCTCTCTTCCCAATAGGTTTGCTGTTGGTTTGTCTGACAAGAAATTAACATTTCACAGGGTATAATAGACATAATCTTGCTTTTATTAAATACAAAAACATGTTAAAAAAATATTAAAATTAAAGATAAGCTTGATTTCTAGTAAAATTATAGTATAATTCCATGAACCTAATAGTCACTTCACAGTGTGAACAATGTAGACAATAAATTGATACAAGTGTACAAGTATTAACTCTCTATGAATAAATGAAGTTATTTCCAGAATTTTTTTATTAGAAACTGAAAGAGAATATTCTTTTGACAGGATTTTTTTTAAAATGCCATTTCAGAAACTTTCAATCTTCTAATGCGTAGTTTTTTAAATGTTTAAACATTCTAACTTCTTAATTGTCTTTATTGCAACTAAAGTTCAATATTCAATCATTTGTGCAAACATCAGTTGCACAAGTTTGATTTTAAACTGATAATCATAATGAACCCAAATAAAATATAATTTCAATGCATTTTACATTATGCCCTTTTCTATACTTTTGGGAATGACTCTCTTGATGAGAGTAAAAGAAGTATTGGTATGCCTAATTAAACTAATTTACACTGCATTTTCTTTTTAATGTTGAATTTAGTAAATAAATTTTGAACTTTCTGGGATTATTATTTCCATTACCGGTACAAATATAATAATAGCGAATACATTTTTTTCTTTCTTTTGATAAAATATATATTTAAAAAATATATATATTTTTAAAATATATAATATATATATTATTTTTTTTTAAAATTTATTTATATAGCACTTGATAACCTGATCACTGATAGAGATTTCTGATTGACATACAACTTACCTCTAATGTGTCTTCATGAAATGATGGAGGATCAGAGCCAACTGTGTCATCAATGTCTATTGAAGGAGAGAAAAAAAAAATAGTAAAAAATACATTCATAACTACTTCATCTTTAAGAAATTTTAAGTATTAATTCATAATATGAACATAAAAAAATCACAGATAACAACAGCTACATAAAGTTTTAAAATTCATTGAATTTAACTACAAATGTTGGAACATTGCCATTTACTATATAAGATGGTATAAGAAAAATTCAGGCATACTCTGGTTAGTGAAAACTATGTAACAGGCTGCAAAGGACTTTAAGAAATTGCTACATAATTTCTACTAATATTAACTCCTTAGGCCTAAAATTAAAACAAACTGAAATAAAAATTGATGAAAATCAAAATTAGTAGAGATTGTTATTTTAACTTAGGACAATGTGTCCTTTATTAATTTGAAAAGAAATAAAAATCAACAAAAGATTTAACATTTAAAATACAATCTAAAAAGCTTTAGTCATTATTCTTATTTAACTACAACAGATATAATATTATTGAAAAAGGTTGTGATAAAATTATAAAGATACTTCTTTTCACTTTCAAAGAGTACATTTTAGTAGGTCATGAGTCATACAAATTGTTAAATTCACATGCATAAAAATTAAACCTATACAAAAATATTTGTCAGTCAAAAATAACACAAGTAACATAGTTGCTTGATAAATGCTTAAATTATTTGAATTCAAAGTTTTCTGTAAATTTCAATCCAACTCCAATATCATAAAAAAAGCCAAAAAGCCATCTAGGGTAAATTATTTACGGTACTGTGAAAAATTAATCTAATTACTCAATCAACAGCAAGAAACACAGAACAATTAAATGTTTTCATTAAAAAAAAACAAACATACATAATAGAAATAGCTTACATTGAACATGAAATATTGTATGACAAGATATATTTCAGTTTCAGAGAATGGTATATGAAACAGGGAGTTGATGAGTATTGTAAAATAAAGATTATTATAGACTAGCCTGAAAACTCAATTCGTCATGGAAAAATATATAAAAATCAGTTTAAAATGAGTTAGTTGTGTAAGAATTACTAAGCCTGAAAATAAAGTGTTAGCCACCCATGAAATTCAAACAGAAGGAGGCAATGAAAATAGCTCACATTTCCTTTCACGGAGAAGTTGTAGTTCTTGTTTTTCAAACGAATTTTCTGCACATTTTTTACTGAATTTGCCTGCTTCTTGAATAGTTTCTTGCTCATTACTCAGAGTAGTAATCAAATCCTGTTCCAAACAAGAATTATTACTCATGGTGCCAACATAATTCTGTTCAAGTTCCGTCACATCTTTTAGAATACCAAGGACAGCCTGAGCACTTCCAAATTCTACAACTTTGGCTTTCTTTGCATGTTCTGTTAACAAATGCAGGTTTCCATAAACATGCACGGTTTCAAAGGTCCAGTCAGTAGGGTGCAAAGGTTCTGCTGGTGAATCTGTGAGGCCTGTGTGCTCTGCCTGCGAATTTATAAGATATGAGGGTTCAGCTTGTGAGTCTGTAGGATACAGTGATTCAGCTTGCAAGTCTGCGTAATGCAATGATTCAGCTTGCGATTCTGCAGGGTGCAAAACTTGTGATGTTTCTGGCTCAGACTCAACAGAATTAGTATCCGAAAGGTCAGATAGGGGAGAATCTGATATGTCCGTTTCTCCTCTGACTTGAGACACATCAGATACCTGAGACACATCATTTTCATCAAAAATGTCCACGCCTCTCAAATCATAAATATCAGAGTCAGTATTTGTGTTTATAGAGGACTTTGTCTCATCATGGCACACACCATTTGTATTTTCATGATGATCTGACCCATAGTGACCATTCATAACTGAGTCCAGTGAAGAGCTCTCGTTGTAGGTTGCAGATGATGTCGTGTAAGATGATGTGGATGTGTTTTGAGCTGAGGAAGAGTTCTGGGGTGAACCTTCTGGCACAAGTGCCACAGCTCCAAGTTCTAAGCTCATTTGAGAGGCCTCAGGGGGCACAACTGAACCTATGGTAGATGTATCAGACTCTAAAGTTCCCCCCATATTAGACATATCTGATTCCAAATTATGCCCGATGTTTGACACATCTGATAATAAAGTTTCACCTGTGTCAGATGTATCAGATTCAAATATTTGTAGTGCATTGGACATGTATGAATCTGCCTGAAATGAAAATTCTTGCTCTGTTGTTGAATAGAAAGAAAAACATGTAGACTTATCCCAGGATGATTCAGTAAATATCAGACTAGATGTATCATAGTTGGATGTCTGTAAATCAGTGTCTGTAATATTGCTACTACTACTACTACTATCTGTACCATCATCATTTGTGTCATCTATATCTATTGCATCAAGTGATCTCCTTGCACTGTTGGAGCCGATATCCTCCAATACATAAGCACAATTTTCACTTTTAACAACAAATTGACTATTTGTATCATCGTCAGCTGGCTGAGCTGTAATTGGGTCAGCTGTGCCCGACGGGTTAACACTTTGTTCCATGCAGTCATTATCAGTTTCATAAGTGAAGCTTTGCACCGGCCAACATGACACCATATGAATTCCAGGGCTAACACCTTTATTCAAATATCTACTATCATCATGTGAGCCTCCTGACTGACCATCTTTGTGTGGCTCTGGACAATCGAGGAACACTTCAGAGTTGTCTGAAGTGTGTTCAGCTGATACCCCTTTTTGGCTTGTCCCAAACAGTGGAGTGGAAGTATCTTGACTATCAAGACTATGAAAAATTTCAGAGTAGTATTTCTTTTCAATGTTACGAGTAACTTTGTCATATATTTCCTTGCCAGTTGGGAGACTATCATTACAATTGGTCATTTCTGTAACACGGTGTGGACTGTCTGTCTCTGAAATTCTGTCATCAGCAAGACCATGCATGCCAAATTCTCTGTGTAGGTATCTGCTTTTCTCATATCCTGACTCATTCAGCTCTGGAAAGGGCTGATAAAACGTGGCCAGCCTGAAGCTTCTAGCCAACCTAGGCTGGGCATTCATCATATCACTAGAATCATCCAAAACTAGAACATCATGTTCTTCTGTCAGATCCAGAGCAACAGGGCTCACATTTTCTGCCTGACAAGTTGTGTCACATTCACATTTCATCATTCTGTTCTGTGGGCTGTGGTCATACTCTTGTTGAAAGCCTTTAAAGTAATTTTCAGAGAACCCAGTCTCATAACAGGCTACATTAAAGCAAGGATCCGCAAACTTATAGTTGGTTATCTCATCATCATCACTGCTACTGCTGCTGAAATAGTCACAAGCCCCTGCTGAATTTGTTCTTTCTTTTAAAGTTCTTGTGCATGTGTCAAAAGTATCATCGGATACCACCAAAAAATCATCATCAGGTGTTACCAAAATTGTATCACTTGGTCGCTTGTGAAAATGCTTAAATCCACCTACTTTGACACAACTTTGAGTACTTCCATCATTAGTATTGAGGGTGAGAGTCTTCTTCTCTCTACTTCCAGCACTCAAGTCTCCACTCCAAACATACTCTTCTTCAGAAGCATCCCTAAATGAACATTCAGATCTACTCTGTGTGATGGCTTCCTGTTTTGTCTTCTTTATTCTATTGCTCATGCTTGTCTGTCCCATTGGTAGCCCCTCACTAGAGATTTCATGAAGGACAGAGTTAATTTGTTCTACAGCAAGGTCAAGGTCCAGCTCTATGGTCTCTAAATCTTCAAAAATTTCATGTAACAATGAAAGATGATTGGTTTCACATTTACTGAAAATTTGTAGACCAAGTTTGACACTTCTAGCCATGTCAGATAATTTTGTGATGACTTCATGACATTTATTGGTCAATAATGAAGCAGCAGTGGAACAAATTTTTTCCCCTGAATTTTCATCATTAAAAATTCTTAACTTTGTGCCACTATCTAAAATAATTAACTTTTCTTCAGCTTTGCATTCAACAGAAACAAGTTCATTTAATAAATTATTACTGTCCTTATTTGTAATTCCAGATATTTTTGTTATATCATCTTGCCATAAAGCTGTAGCAAACTTGATATCTCCCATAGTGTCAACGACCACAGCGTTCTCTAGATCCTTAACAGACTTATCAGATCCTCTGATCTGCTGCCCAAGAGCATCAAGAATATAACTGCTCATGTCTAGATTCGTGAATCCTTGAATAGCCTGATCCACATCAGAAGATTGAGAATCCTGTTTGCTTTGAAATGTATCTGCTTTTATCTCACCTGTTTCTTCATCCATATTCTCGACATCTCCAACATCTTGCAGTTTTGTTTTCATATAAACATTAGTAACTGCTAAGAAATTAAGAAGTTTAAAATATTTCCTTTAAACAAAATCATTGTTTAAATTAAATAATACATGGCATAACAATTTAATTAAAACCTTTAATTTTTTAAAACAAAATTGATTTGAAAGTCAGGTACCGGTTTCAATTTTTTAAATTTTGTATGAAATTCATAAAATATTTTTAATTTTTCTTCTGAATATGATGTCATAATTTACAAGGAAACACAAGTGAAACTGTAACTTAAAGAAACAAAAACATTCTCTTCAAACACTGAAGAAATGCTCTAAATGAAAAGAATTAATTTTGAACAAAAAATAAAAATTATTAATTTGTGGTTAAATTTGAAATATACCTGAATTGCCAGCACTCCTATGGGTCTCTGAACTAGGAGTTAGATCAACAGAATGTTCCATTTCTTCGTTTGATTGATCTTCATGTGGTGAAGACCTAAGATGATCCATTTTTTTCCAAGTGTACAAAGATTTTGTTTTACTATCGGTCAAGATATTTGCCTCCTTGTTAATGTTTGCATTAATGATGACATTAGCTTCATTTTGGATGAAGACAGATTCTAATTCTTTTGGATTGTCTGTATCTTGTTTTTTTTGGGCATCCTCCACTTGCTTGCCACCCGCCAGGTCATCCACCTTCTCACCACCAGTCAGGCAATCAACCTTCCCATCACCAGCCACATCATTCACCTGTTTCCCACAAGCAAGGTCAACCTTCTCACCACCAGCCCTGTTACCTACCTTCTTAACTACAGCCAGGTCAACTACCTTCTCTACACCAGCCTCGTCATTGACATTCCATATCTCAGCAGTGGCAACCACCTTCTCTAAACCAGACAGGTCATTTGCATTAACTAAGCTGGTAATGTTATCAACCTTTACAATGGTATTGCTGTCCACCTTCTCTACACTAGTTAAGTTATCCACTTTCTCCTCTGTAGTAAAGTCATCCATCTGCTCTTCACAGGTTAAGTCATCCACCTTCTTTTCGCCAGTTAAGTCTTCCCCCTTCTTTTCACTAGTTAAGTCCTGCACCTTCTGTTCACTGATAAAGTCAAAGTTATCCACCTTCTCTTCACTGGTATAGTCATTCACATTTTCTTCACTGGTAAAATCATCCTCCTTCTCTTCACTGTTAAAGTCATCCACCTTCTCTTCAGTAGCAAAATCCCATACCTTCTTTTCATCAGTACTTCCCTTCTGTTCACTAGTAAAGTCATCTACCTTCTCTTCCATATTAAAGCCATCTACCTTCTCTTCCCTTATATAATCATTCATCTTTTCTGCACTGGTAGAGTCATCCACCTCCTCTTGCCTGGTAAAATCATCAGCAATCTCTTCGCTATTAAAGTCATCCATCTTCTCTTCAATGGTAAAGTCACCTGCCTTCTCTTCACTGGTAAAGTCATTTACCTTCTCTTCTGTATTAAAGTTATTTACATTCTCTTCCCTATTAATATCTTCCACCTTGTCTGCACTGGTAACGTCATCTACCTTCTCTTCCCTGGTAAAATCATCCACATTCTCTTCACTGTTAAAGTCATCTATGTTTTCTTCACTGTTAAAGCCTTTCACTTTCTTTTCCGTAGTAAAGTCATCCACCTTCTCTTCACTGGTAAAGTCATCCACCTTCTCTTCACTGGTAAAGTCATCCACCTTTTCTTCTGTAGTAAAGTCACTCAACTTCTCTTCACGGGTAAAGTCATATACCTTCACTTCTGTATTAAAGTCATTCATATTCTCTTCCCTGGTAATATCTTCCACCTTGTCTGCACTAGTAAAGTAATCAACCTTCTCTTCACTGGTAAAGTCATCCACCTTTTCTTCTGTAGTAAAGTCACTCACCTTCTCTTCTGTACTAAATTCATCCACCTTTTCTTCCCTGGTATAACCATCCACTTTGTTTGCACTATTTAAGTCATTCACCTTCTCTTCACCAGTTAAGTCATTCACCGTCTCTTCACCAGTTAAGTCATTCACCTTCTCTTCTGTACTAAAGTCATCCACCTTTTCTTCCCTGGTATAATCATCCACTTTATCTGCACTATTTAAGTCATTCACCTTCTCTTCAGTACTAAAGTCATCCACCTTTTCTTCCCTGGTATAATCATCCACTTTGTCTGCACTATTAAAGTCATCCACCTTCTGTTCACTGGTAAAATCATCCACTTTCTCTTCGCTATTTAAGTCAACCACCTTGACTACACTGTAAGGATCCTCCTCCTTTTCTATTTTATCCCTTATAATTTTTAAACTGGCACTGCCATTCTGCGTCTCCACACTAGAATGGTCGTCAGTCCTCTCAGTGCTGGACTGGTCCTCATACTCCTCAAACACAATTGACAATCCCCCCTCTGTATACACATCTTTGCAGCCCATCTGATCAATTCTGTCCACAGCTGATGCCAGGTCAAAGTCCACAGATTTACTGCAGGGCTGACAGAGTGAAGCTGGACTGGAGTAATGTTCATCAGACCTTGGGAGACCATGGGATTTTTCCTGATACCTGACTGAGTGTTTAATGATAGCTTTACATAGCTCAGACTCTTCATATGTGTCACCTAGAGTGTTTTCAGAATCTAAAATAACACCTGGTTCAGCTGAGGAATGAAAAGTGCTAGTTAAGCAATACAGGGATAGCATTAGCACAGTTAAAAGCATTTTTAATCAAGCAGTAATTAATTTTTTTTAAGCTGACGGTGTATTAAGAAGCTGTCATATAAATAGAAGAAAGTGAACTTGTTAAGTTGATATAGATCAGTGAGAAAGAAGAGCCAATATTAGTATACACTGACATGGTTATATAGATGAGGTCATTAGTTAATGGAACTGTGTTGCAAATACAATGTAAAATATCTAAATATAGCAAACAAGGCCTCTGGGTTGATTTCCAAAAGTACATAAAGTTATAAAGCTTTCAAAATTTGCTTTCTTCTCAAGAGCAATTTACATTTCCCTAGCACATCCTTACTTTTAATCTAACTGTTTTAATGCTATATCCACACCACAGCATTAGGTGACTAGCAATTTTAACCTTTATATTTATATCCACAGAAGGCTGATCTGTATAAGATAGCAAATTATAATAATTCATGAATTATCTCCTCTTAGCTGTGCAAATGTGTTTACATTACATCCTTCCCAATTGGTTAAATCACAACTTTTACATGAAAATAGATAGTTTTAATGTCAGATTTTTTCCAATTTTTTTTTTTTTTACACTGATCAAAAGTAATTTTGTCAAAAATACCCTCAGATGATGAATTTCATAGCAGCTTATAGGTAATTTAGATAATTTATTATAGGTAATTTTAAATAATCCTTCAGTTAACAGTGCTAGCTGTAATAATACAGTTCCTGTATTTAAATTTACATAGTGGATTCAAAAACTTATGTCACGACCAAGTTATTCAATTTTCTTTCTTGTAACCTGGTTCACCATGCTGGCTGAAAAAGTCATGTGGATAGAAGGATCTTTTTACTCTAAGTGCCATGTGGATATAAAGTGTTTAAGTAGATTTAGTAGAACTGCGCTAATAATAGTTCAGACATGACAAAGACAAGCACCAAAGTTAATATTTTATAGAGATCACATAGCAGCTATCTAAATAAACCAATGGTGTTTTGCTGTACGTAAATAGTAGGTAGAAAAATAATACTGTACTTAAATCAAGAATTTCAGTCTCTTACAAATTTGAAATGAAAGGAATCTATGTCTGTGTCAGGCCTACATAAATATTTTTAATGTTTTTTTAGCTTTCACATGGATAGGATGGAAAATTTCAATTGAATAAATGGACTATTGTCCCATTCATGCACTTTAAATCTATACACAATTTTTTTTAAATTTAAAATTGTGGCTCCCATCCTCCTTTTTAAAGACATCTAAAAAATTGCCTTGGCAACACTTATAAGGCCTGGGTGTTAACATTATCAGGCTGAGATAAGGTCCAAGGATGATTTGAGGGGTGTGTTTACCAATGCTTGTTTAAGAAAATATACGGTAATCTGGTTTATAATAGGGAAGAGAACTTTATTCCATTCTCTAATGGCAGTTAACAGAAACCTAATCTATGCCATTGCCTAATGCATTAATTATTATTTGCTAGTGCCCTCCACATTCCTCCCTCGTGACAGATGAATCCACAACCACATTAAAGATTTTGTTACAGAATTGTTGAAGCCACGGAGAGATGGAAAGGTCAAGTGCAGTGTTTAAAAAGATTGAGTGAAAATATATACCTTCCCCATCATCATCATTATGGGCATTGCATTTCAATATGGAGACCTCATTGAATGATTCTTCTGAAAAGTAGAACAAAAACAAAACAAAAATTTTATACTACAGTAGGCTTCTTGGAGTCAAAACATTGCAAAACTGACTAACATTCAAATTTAATAGTGACAGGTATCTAGCTATCTTTTATCTAATTATTTCATCCTTGCTATCCCATATTTTTTTATTCATAATATCCCATGTTATATTCAAATAATCTTTTAATTACGGTATAGGAAGTATTATACGCATTAATCATACCACTGCCGACTTTGATTTAATATTTCACTAACAAGAAAACTCACAGTTTATCATTAGTTATCAGCGGTCAGACAGCCAAGCACTACTTTTGGTCTTAATTTTCAATGAAAAAATGATTAAGTATATATTTTAAATTCAAACAATGCAAATTTAGCACCCAGGCCACAATGGCGCTTTCTGCTTTCAAAAATTCAATTTGAGATCATAGCCTGTATGTTACTTTTTTAACTTAGCAATTTTAAATTAAAAAGACCACCAAAAGTTTTACTTAAAAGAAGCTCAGCTGCTAAACCATCCCAGCCACACAAGCATTTAAATTAATCTCACCAAGGTCGTTCAGCATATCTGTATCTAATGTTTTCTCCATCTCTATCTGAACATCAATGTTAGAACCAGGCACCACCTGAGGAAAATAGTAACACTGGGTCTACATCATTTAAAAATGGTGCACTGATCAAGTGTAAAGTCACAGTACTACTGTTTTTGTTAATGTGGTTAGACTTTAATAGTTAAATGAATAATAAGTGACAACACTTACAATAATGTCCTCTTAGAATTTTTGCAATCTCCTTTAGACAAAGGAGGAATAGTTCTTAATGAGATATTTATAGACTTTATGACATGTTAGAATTTAAGATGTTAAAACCAGATTTTTTTACAAATGAAATATAAGAACAAGGTATGCTAACCTTGAATTAATAGGACAAAAGATTTGGATATTTTGGCTTAGAGCCTTTTTCAGCAAACAAGACAAAAAGAAGTATGACAAGTAACAGAGCACAGTAAAAAAATTGAGAGATTTCTCTTTGTTGCCAGAAGTAGGATTACAGGAAGTGAAAGAATATAAATATTGGTACTGTGCAAAACAGGTAAAGAATCTTAACGGACCAAAATATTTAGGGATACATAAAATCTAAGGAATAAGAAAAAAAGGAAGAAATACAGGGAAATTGAGAAACATTAGTAAGAGAGCATTTGATTCATGACATGTGGAGATATGGTGCTGAAAAGCTGAATAAATTTGCTTTCCATTTTAAGGGGAGGTGTGGGTGAAAAATCTAAAATTTTTGTTTGGCTTCATATAGGATTTTTTTTAACTACACCTTATTTGGTATTGTAATGGAGGTACAAAACAGGTTTAAAAAAAAAAAAATTTCCATTGTTTGCCTTTGTAGCCCATAAAAACCTCCGCCATTTTTATTTTTTTAGTGTGTTTTAAAACACTAAGGCTTTTACAAATATTAAGTTATTGCTATCAGATTTTAAACATAGAATATTTAACCTATAATAAAACTTTGTATAACAGGACTTTTTGATGTAATGACTGGTTATAAATTTACAGGGTCAGAAATTGTGACCCCATTTTTTATGCAAAAAATAGGGGTGTGGGTGAATTCTTTTTTACATATTTTCTTTTCTAAGATAGTTATCTTAATTCTAGGTTATTCAAATGTTTATTATTGGTCACTGAACATACTGTGAAAATTTGGTGAGGTTTGGATAATAAATAAAAAAGTTATAGGGATATTAGTGACCAAAAATAGTGAAAACAAGAAAACTGAAATAACGAAGAAAAACGACAAAAACAATGAAAATATCAATGAAAAATAAGAATCTTATACCAAGATTGGAATAAAAACTTTTTATTAGCCTATTGTGGACATTTTTAATCATTTTCCAGGTCCATTTTTCTTTTTTCCTGACCACTCAACTTTTCACTGTGATTGATATATTTTTATCTATTATTCTGTATTTGTCGAAAAAATAATAATTCGCTTATTTTGGAGAATTTCAGCATTATAAAAGTGTGCAAAATCATAAAATTAAGCTAGGTAAATATGCAATTCCAAAGAGTTATTTGGCATTGTCCATGAATGCTGAAAATGCAACTCTTATTCTTGTAAAGAAAAAATTGTAAGTTCTATGAGTTCTAATGACGGAATGAATATTGACAGTTGTAAATTTTCTGATTTCTATCTCACAACTTTTGAATCACTTGAGTTGCAACATGTATTTTTCCACAAAAGCATATTAACTGTTTTTTGTGTGAGCCAGAAAACTCATGAGCAATAACTCCATTGTAAAATCTAATTAGTTACTGTATCAAATTTTGACACTCGTCATGTTGAAAATCACATCGCAGAGAGATACAATGTTAAAATAAGGGAAATATTGATATGTTTCTTTCAACTACTGTCTTATTCTTTTTGTCCTTGAATAACACATAATGAGTTTTGTGATGTAATCTGTGTTAGTCTTCTCTTGCATCCTCTGCCTGAGGTTACTTTTATTTCGATGCATCGAACATATGTTGCGCCGAGGAATCTGTAACATTGGAATACACTTAGGGCACTCCTTCTTTTTCATGTGCATATTGTCCTTTGGGCTAAATGGACCTAGGCACAACAGATCAGTGTAGTTTATCAACAGGAAATATAATGCATGTTGTGGTTTGTTGTGTTCCGCAACCTCATTGCGCGTCTCCTCAATGATTCCTGAAAACAATAAACTTGTATTTAGATATTTTTATTAAATGCTTCTCAATAAAAATATAAGGCTATAATGAAATTAATGACTGATAGGTCATACTTGTTGACACGTATTTCAAGCAAAATTTGTTAGGGCTCTTACTCTTACTTTACTTTAAAATAAAATAACACTAATGACAATGTTATTTGCGATGCAATAAAAAAAAAAAGAGAAATTTATTACATTTAATTTCATATTACCATTTTAATAGCTATAAATATAGGACAGTGTAAGACAAATGTCATAATAACTAAATTCATAAATTGTTTATAGGTTTTATTTTTACTACAGTTCACTATCACAAAAGTAACTGTTTATTACTAACTATTACTAATATAATAAAGTATAAGTCATTCAATGGTCTATAGTGAGCACAGTATAGGCTTAGCCTTATAAATAATTGATACCGTACTTTGAATTTGAATCTAAATGAAAAATAGATTTTTAAGACTTACCAAGGCATAGTATTTTTCTATATTTTTCCAGCTGGTAAAGTAGCGTAGCGATGCTTGAACTTGAAGCGACTAGCACTAGGAGTAGGCTAGGCTTAGTCTTAGTAGTTTAGTGTACTCAGTCTTGGTCTTCTCCGAAAAGGAGAAGCATTAATCATGTTTATTATGGCAATTAATCAAAGCCAACTCATTTTGTGTGGTTATTTACTTATTTAGTTGTTTTTTAACTCCTCAAATGAATTTATTACCGACAAATTACATATCGAACTTGCTAGGCCTCACGAAATTAGATACGGTTTTGTTTATACCGGAAGTGACCTTTATAAACAGATTTCCTACATAGGAACCAATCAAAATGCTTATTTTATTCAAAGGTCAGGGTTTGATCACGTGATACACGAAGTAGGACAGGAAAATACCAAATTTTGCTAGACATTACCGGCGATCGAAAGGTTCGGTTGCTTTTGTAATTTTCTTTGTGATCATAAGCTATATTTATCTTGACCCCGAAATCACCATCTTTCCAACCATGCCAAAGACATAGGGATTGGGCGATTCCAAATACTCATAACAAAGGGGTAAAAACACTAAAAATAGGACAATTTTGACATTTTTCTGATTGATAGGGTCAGGAAATTTGTAATTTATTATATTTTCTAACTTACTTTTATAAAAACAAATATAAAAATGTAATAGAGAAATGGTTAATAAAACCAAATAACCAATAATAAAAAATTATTCAAAATTTGCCATTTTCGTCAATTTCTCACCCGCACCTCCCCTTAACTTTCTCTTATATGAGCTATATAAATATAATTTCAAGCAGAGGTAATGCATGGGTGGATGGAATTTTAATCAAATACAAATCGCAACTTTTGACTTTTTATGTGACTTAAGTAGTTTCCTGAATTAGTAAAATCATTCTACAATATTCTATTTGTGGCCGGGGGGGGCCTTACATTTGTTTTTTCTCTTATATTACCTATATAAATATAATTTCCTGATGCATTCATATACAAATCATCCGATAGCGAAAAAACTTTAGTGAAAAGTTGTGTGCACGCCAGCAAAGGTTTCTAATTTAGTACAACCATTTTACAATATTCCATTTGGGGCCGGTGGCCCTAAATTTGTTTTTTTCTTACATGAGCATTATAAATATAATTTCAAACAGCTTTTGCATGGGTGAAAAATGGCTACAAGTGTGTGGGCTAATTTTTGAAAATCCATGCCTCTCACGTGGACAGCTGTAAGTGGCCTGCTCACGCATCGAAAAACCTAATTTATTCGTGTACGCACCAGATGGAAAAACAAAATATATTGTCTATATAAAAAGTACTTCAAAAAACATAATTAAAACACAGACACTTTCGTTCTTTGACTTTGAGTGGCATTGCAAAACATGCCTAGTACTCGCTAGTTGTATATAAAATAAAGGTAGTATTAATTAATATTAATATCAGTGGCATAGCTAGCATAAGTGCCACATGAATTTGGCCAGGATTTCTAGCAGCCCCTTTCCACAAAGAAACAAAACAACTCTGCTGCAGTTAGCCAAATTTCCACCCTTCCACATCCCTTTTACTATGCCAGTGATTAATATTGAGCGTTTACTGTGATGATGATTATTCATTTACACCAACTTGTTAAATGACAGCAGATAACATACGTGCTATTTTTGGAAGTGAATTTCCTGGAATTCAGCTAATCCTATTGAAGCATGTGGTATGGTTTGACACACAATTCCAGTAACTTCTTTATGTATTTACTGTTAGTGTTAGTTCACATTATGTTTATTACACAATAAAATTTCTGGATTTTTAAAAAATGATGAGAAAAAAACAATGTTATCTGGATACTAAAAATCAACAACCAGTTTAAGGTTTGAAAACCAAAAACAAAGCAGTTTTAACCCTTAGTTGTAATTGTTATGTCTTTTAATTATTTTATATCACATTCATTCATACTAGAAGTCATTCAGCTGTTGCATCAGATTCAAAGCTCCATTTTTAAAAAAAATTGATAGGGAAACTTACCTCAGCATATCCCAAGTCAACCATGGCCCTGTTGATGGACTGAGTACCAGTTTGATTAATATCACTCAGGTAAACACCATATTTGCCATCATTGGCATTTTCAAGAACATTCATGCAAAAGGTGGTTTCTTTCAAGCAGTCTGAGAGTAAGATGAGAGAACATAAAATACAACATTACCAAGTTTATTTCTTTATTTTAGACCATGTTAAAAATTGGCTTCAACTGCACAAATGATCTCACATTTCTTATTCAGAATAATTTTTCAATAATTCATGTCTACACGCTGTCACAGTGAACAATCTTTTTGAAATTATTTTTTCTTTCCTTCTTTTTTGTAAATAATATATTTTTGTCCATCTTAAAGTTACTTAATTAAAATTGCGGGGTCAAGGTGTATGAAATCAAGAATTTATAATTTTGTTTTTGGTTTAACTGTCTCAGTTGTGATATGGTAAGTGGTGAAAGTTTATACAAAAAGTATAAGTAATTCTCCAAGAGTCATGTCATAAACATGGAATTTTCTAATAGACCTCAAAAGAGGCATAACATATCCAGGAACATACCTTGAAAGAAAACAATGGCATCTGAGCACCACTGTGGCTCCACTGACACAATACCAACCAAATAACAAGGCACTGCTTGAGCTGGCAGGTCAAGAAACCTGAGAGGTAAGGCCTTGAGGTCATCTTGGCAAACCTTCACTTCCCAACCACAGTCAATTGACTTTACCTGTGAAACAGTGCCATTTGTTTGAATACATGCCATGGAGCACTTACATTACCTACCCTGTTTTGTTAAGGTAAAAGAATATATATGACAAAGGTCATTTGTTTGGTAGAGTTATATTTGATAAGTGATTGTCCACCTTCATCTATTGTTGCAGTTTTTATAGGAATTAAGTAACAATTAAGAATACTTAACATGCAATTGAGAGGTTGTAATTGACACCATCAAATGGTTTACTATTTCATTGTCTTAAGGCTATCCAACCATTTGGTTTCCTAGGGCCCCACCATGCAGCATCAAACTTTTTTTCTTGTTACACCCAGGTATAATTCAATGTTTAGATGGTACATTATAAAAAGATTTGTCTGATCCACATTACTTGGGGACCTGACATTCAAATTGCACAGCGCTTATATTTCTTACATTCCAGGTGTCAGCCTCTAGAGACAACACATCTCCACGGTACCAAACACCACACATCTGCACCAGACAGCAAGCACCAACTTCTGGGGTGAAAGATGAAGGCTCAAGATTAGAATCTGATACAACATGTTCTGCAATGTCCGCCATCAAAGAGGTAAACTGACTCCTGAGCTCTAGAAGCTGTATATGAAAGGAATTGGGTAGCTCATCATTGCTGACCATCACCTCATACTCAGTGTGGAGACTGAGGCGCAAGCACCTGGGAAAACATAATTGGTTATGTGGCATCAGTCAAAAGTTGTTTTTACATTTAACTTTGCATTTTTGTAAGTTACCTCCAGTTTAATCTCAAGTTTTAAGCCAAATGGATGCTATTTACAATAAAAGATGTGTCTTAACTTCCCTACCTATAATGGCCATTTTCTGTGTCTTCAAATAAATAACTTTGCTGGATGTTTTGAGTAATTTCCCCTGGCATAACTGTGGATTCCATGATAGGCTGGGTGATCTCAAGAGCATCCACACCTGTAGTATCAGCAGCTTTAGTGTTCCGCAAACTACTTGAAGTGATTCCTGTTGCTGATTCAAAGCCAACCATCTCTCCAAACCCTGATGCTATTAGGGATGCAGAGACATGATCATCTGAGTCTGTTGAAATTAAATCTACAAGAACTGAACCATCTTGTTCTCTACCAACCAACTTCAAAAAGAGTTCATGGCCTTCTACAATTTCTAAAAATTTACTACAAGCTTCAGGCAGCCAGCCATCCTCTGATGGTTGTATACAGTCAAGACAGCACTGAATGGCTTGGGCTGGATATGAACACAGTTCTTCTTTCATCTTATATATTTGATTTCCAGGAAATTCCCTCTCATTGCCATAATCAAGATATCTAAGGGAAACTTTTTGATCAGATGAGCTGTCCAAATCTATGGAGCTCAAGACTTTTGATCTGTATACCTGGCCATCATCTGAGACAACAGCTACAATATCTCCAGCACTCAAGGGACCCTCAACTTTATCTTCATTTTGTGGTGAACTGTAGGCTATTTCCATGGACTGACTGATTTGTGAGAGGGTGCCTGATGATGAGGACAACTGGCACCAGAAAAGTGAAGGACTGACAGCATGACTTACATACACACCAACTTCTTTAAGTTCCTCCAGTGTATTTGACACATATCTGGGCAGAGGAAGCAGAAATAAATAATCAATATCAAAATGTAACTGTAAAAATAATTTCAAGTGTAAATTAGAACATTGTTTGGTTCATGTGACCTTATGATAAGCTTTATGATAGACCATAAAGTAAAACATTTGGCAGTTTTTCAAATGAAACACTTTACATGTCAGCCTACAAGATCAGTTGAAATGAATCATTAAAATACTTTTTATTTGATTATTTACATTATTAAATAATGCAACTAAATCTGTTTGGCAATTAAGGGGGATTTCAAAATAAATAATTCCTGATTTTTATAGGTTAATCAAATTTAATAAAAGAGAGTGAAAAGTTAATAGAAAGTGGATTTGTTTCTTCTGCCTTTGATAAAAAATAAACCCAATGTATTTAAAACTCGACAAGAAAAACAAATTAAAATAATTTAAAGTGTAAGCAAAATAGACAAACCCAATTTTCAACCCTCTGTTAGCCACTGGACAAGTCCCTGCCTGCTCTGTGGACTCGTCATCTTCTAAATGTGTACTCTCAAGGTATGAAAAGTCACCAGATTGCGCAATGGTGCTCTCATTGGCATCAGAGAAATGCCGCTGCACTGCTGTGTCAACCAGTGAGCTGTCTGCTAATGTTGCAAAACCTGACAATGAAATGAAAGTCATTAGCGGTTGTCAAGCTCTGTTGCATCCAAGCTTTCCCAAGACGCACTATGTCGAATTATAAATAATGGCACTGCAAAATAACAAATATTTTTATTTTTGCTAACAGGTTTATAAAATTCAATTAAGAAGAAATACTATGCTATTTTAATATGCTTGTCAAAATGACAAAAACACATACTAACTGAATTCAAAGACCCTAACAAGTATACATTTTCTGAAAGTAAACTGAACAAGGTATCTTATGGTTTAAAAAATAATCTGCTTTTAAACTATACTAGCCAATATACCCGGCATTGCCCGGGATTGCATTCTGAAAAATAACTACATCTACAGCCTTTTAATCAACATCGAAATTAGGCGCCATGTAAATAAAAATAATTCCAAAATTGTACCGATTTAGTTATGCCTGAGATAAAGCGCCCTATAAAAATCAATCGGATAAATAATAAATTAAAATTTAAAATTTGTCCCATTAAAATCAGTTTAAAAATGCCATATTTATAGCTTTTTTCAATAATCGAACTTTCTGGAAAACTTTAAATCGGCTCTGAATGGGTTGGATATTACTTTGAAATCCACCATATTTCAATATGGACTATGAAGGGCATTGCTACAACACTCGGCCTAAATCCATCAATTCATAAAGAACCTTTGTGTTGTTTAAGCCTATTGGCATTTATGTAGCTTATATTAGGAAAAATGAAATGAAGCCACCGGCTCCAGAGGAATTACCCTTTGGTATTTGAATATGGATAATCAATTGCATGTGCACTAAGTTTGGTCAAAATCCATCTATTCATGTAGGAGTATTTGTTGGTCATTTTATTTATAGGCCCTATAGCTCATATAAGAAAAAAAACTAATTCAGGGTCCTCTGCCCCAAACGGAATGAAATAAAAAGTTCATAATCCCCCCCCCCCCCAAAAATTCCACCCCCAAGAGTTCCATCCGGATAATGATGGATAAATGTGCCAATTTTGGTCAAGATCCATCAATCCATGTAGAAACGTATATGATACAAAGCCACAAACAAAAAAAACTTTCACTTTTATAAATATACACCGGTATGTGATGATGTGATATGTTGATATTGACCTGGACCTTAACAGAGTACCGTTAAGTAAAATTTTACTACTCAACTTCGGCATTTAACCCACACAAATTTCACTATTTTCTTCTATCATTACATCAGGTTTTTAGACACAGCACTAAAGGAAATATCCTTTCAGAAATTGTCATGTTATATGTACTTTTTTTTTAAAATATCGAATTTCTGTTGTATATAAAATACAGTGGGGGATAGATGACCACAAACGAAATGATTTTTAAAATTTCTTATCATTTAAAGTTATTTAATCCACTTTTATTAAATTTATGAATACCCGGTAATCCTGAACATGAACAAACATAGATGTCTTTGTAATACTTTAAGGTAGGTCTTTGGGATCCAATCTTTGTCTTTTCTGTTCAATCTCCACCCTTTGCCAAATAAATTTGTAACAATAAGACTGTAGGGCTGAAATTGTCAATATCTGACTCTTATATCGCCATAACCTCTAGTGCCTGTACAGTAGCATGTGAAATATTTCTCAAATCACTGTTTTCAATTTAATCCATTTGAAATAATTTCAATAGAAAAAGTCTGTGTTGATTTTGTTATCTAAATGGAGACCCTCTCAGACATAATGGCAGACAAAAAAAATTTTATAGCAAATTTCACAACCGATTAATTGCAAAACAAGCCCTCATAAAAGCATGTTTACACATAGTAAAAGGAATCAAACTGATTTCTATAGAGAGATTTCCCCTTAACCAATGTACATTAACTCATTTGCATCTTAAATGACGATTTTACTAGTGGCTGTTATAAAATATCGGCCCAGACACTATAGAAAGGGGTATAACGGCCAGTCAACTGCCTTTATGGAAGTTCTAGGGTTAAATACAGACATAATAAAAATAAAATCTCGTAAAAGTGTTTCAAAAACTCATCTGAATTCATTAGAAAATATACAGCTCTGCACTTAGTTGCATACAAAATAGCATTGAAGAGTGCTCCTAAAAAAATAATTTATAAAAGTATTCATTTAGGATCAGGCTGCATTAAGTTTAAGAAAAATTGAATGGACCGTCTGAAGACCACTACTATGAAACTCAAAATAAATGACTGAATGATGGAAATCTATTTCAAGATTTTTCAAACCTTTTTCAATAAGTAGTTCATGAACTGGGATGCCTAGTTTCAAGAGGTGAACAACACATGATGAGTTATCTGTATTAATTTCAACAATATCAGCAAGAAGGGATCTGAAAAATAAAAATCATGGAGTAAAACATTATACGGGTACCGTCAAGGGCTTACCTGGGGCTCTGCACTAAATCATAGGGGTAAACAGTTATGATGTCAGTAAAAAAAAAAAGCTTTTTAATTTTTATTTATGTCTGGTATGGAATGGACGCTAAGTACAGTATAATATTTTAACTCTTTCGCTGCGATGCAACGCACAGTGCGTTCATTCGCCGATCTAAAAAGCACAGACCAACGTGCTCTGCGTTGTTTCAGTATCATGTTTTTTATTTTATTTGCTATTTCTCGGTTTAACTTTTTAAGAGCTATTTTTAAATAAGACTTTTACATAGAATATATTAATAAGACACGAACAAATTGTGTCAATAGAACAATATGAGTTAGCTTTAATAATAATTGTACATTATACAGAATTAAACGTTTCGGCATATGCCTTCATCAGTACAAACAAACACAACACATTTAAATAAGTATAAATTAAATTTCCATAATGTCAATATACATATCCTACCTAAAACAGAAAAAATATAGGAGAGGGCGCTAAAACCAGACAAAAACAAAGTAAAGAGAAGTAGAAAGGAAGTGATTTTAACATAATTGGAAAAACCAAACAGGCCCTAGTAGGTGAGTAAGTTTCTTAGAAGATTAACAACTCAAAAAGCTTTGGAATTTTTTTATACTATTTCTTTCCATAGTGTAGATGATTTGTATTTAGATCCATCACATGATTACGATAGTATTAGTTTTAGAGCATTTGAGTAGTGAAGATAAGGTAAGCATTCATCATAGGGTTTGGGGGAAAAAATGGTTTAGCATATAAAGTTTTCACATTTTATGGTTCTTTTCTGTTACTTATTTTATTTAAACTGAAGAAATAAGTTTACAAACATATAGTCCATTCAATTATGTTTCATTTGATACTAAGTTTAGTTTTAAAAACCAAAAAATTATATTTTAAATATTTTTTAATAAACCCAACCTCTCACTCTTTTTTGCTCTTTGAATTAAAAAATTCCCCAGCGAAAGAGTTAACTTGAACCAATAGATGTAACTTACCAAGATTTCAATGACATAAAATTACGTCTGAGATGCAAATCATCACAGACAGGGAATTTAAAGATATAAATATTGCTTCAAGGCAGGACAAGTACAAATGTTCACATTTTAGATCTATACAGAGGCAAAATTTTTCAGTGTTTAATGAAATAATAATGTTTAAGAATGCATTTACTTTTAAAATTGATACTTCAAAAATTTTGAAATGGAGGCATACTGCCACTTCCACTGGACATCAATGATGATGCACAAATTAACATTTCAATGCAGTTATCTTTGAAAGTATGCCCCCAGATATTTTGGACATACTAAAATTGTTTGGGATTGAGCATTCTGGAATATAATATAAAAACATAGCTCTTGTTATTAGCAGATTGTATTTTTTTAAATCATGCATATTTACTCATGTGCTTATATTCAATTAAAAACTAATAATTAATAATAACAAAATTATAAATGTCAGTCTTACTTTGCTTCCACAAAATTTTGAAAATATTCCACAGCCTCATCTGACCAGCCTTCTTCTACTGGAATTACACCCCCTAGTTTAGCCTTAATCACATAAGCTGCTTGCACTTTGAACTTGTCTGGCAAAAGACGCAATGATGAAGCATCAGTTGTTTCTTGATTGCCATGATCTATGTAGAAAACCTAAAAGATGATCAACATCATTCTGACTGTAATATTGTTTTTTGAGAAGTATTAATAACATTTAACTCTTTCCATGCCATGGTGGTTTCCAGGTTGGTCTGGCTTTAGGAAGCTCTATTTTATTAATGAATTTTGAAAACTGGTAGCATTTTTTTTAGCAAGAAGCTGTATTTTGTATCAAAGGAAATTAGAGAATAATAATATGTAATAGATAAATCAACATTACAATAGTTTTAATTTTATTGGTAATATTTCATTTATGATGAAAATCCATTTTATATTTTGAAAATATTCCATTTAGTGAGATTTTTATATATTTTTGTAATGTTAATGTCAAATGAAAACAGTTTCCTTGCATGAATACAGGTATATATAATTTGACGATTATATTGTTTATTGGCATGGAAAGAGTACAACAATAAAAATTCAATTTTTATTGTAACCAAAATTAACAAAAAAGAAAATAACCTTTTCAAAACAATTACACAATAAATAATAATTAAGAGCTCCTAAAAAATTTCTTTTTGGACTCATCTAGTCCAAATTTTTTTTTTTTTTGTGTTCATTTTTACTTTAACTTATTTGAAACACTAATTACTGCAGAGGGATTTTAGCCAAAATGTTTTGTAGTTTCTTTTTTTTTTTTCAAGTTTTCACATACCACCGCTTTATTTATTTCCTTATTCAATTAGATGTCTCCCCCATAAAAATTTTTTTTTTTTTGTGTTCATTTTTACTTTAACTTATTTGAAACACTAATTACTGCAGAGGGATTTTAGCCAAAATGTTTTGTAGTTTCTTTTTTTTTTTTCAAGTTTTCACATACCACCGCATTATTTATTTCCTTATTCAATTAGATGTCTCCCCCATATTCTATTCTTATGTTTTTATATTGATATAGATATAATTTAAACATTTTACTTTAAAGCTCTTTTGTAAGTTAAATATAAAATGGATAAAAAATGTTTTCAACAAAAACTATAACAATGAAGACTATAGTATTTGTTTGCTTTAAGTTGATTTAAAAATGTATTCCTGTGGAAAGTTACCTTGTAGCATTGCTGGACATGCTTAAAAAATAATCAGCTTAATATTTTTTTTAAAACTCACTTGATATGTTCCATTCAAATTCTCCAGTATCCTGACCCTGTACCATGATTCATCTTCATACAATGCAGCACACATTTCCCCTACGGAGAGATTCTTTACCAGTCCCTGTTCTTCAGGCATGTCACTGAAATAGTCATACATCTCATTCATCAATGTGTCCAGGCAAGACTTGTCCTTGTCAAGGTGGAGGTAAAACTCATCAGGACTAACCGCACAGATAACAGTCACCGTAACCCGCTGGCCAGCAGAGATGTTCGAGAGCAGTGAGCTGGTCTGACTTGTGATGCCATCAGGATCCGCACTGTTGTTTGTGTTTATATTCTTTAGTTGGGACTCGGTGACATCAGACTGCTCATGGTTAACTTCAGATTGAGTTTCTGCACATATGATATGAAATTTATATTTAAAATATCTTGATTTCATTGCTTTTCCTGAATATAATCTTTACATACAATCAAAAGAAAAGGTGTTTTTTTTTTATTAGGTAGATAATAGATTTAAGAAAAGTTTATCTACTCTGCTTGTTAAAATTTATTAGCTGTTGCTAATGAGCTGTATACAATAATTGCATATTATTTTTAAAAGTGTTACATTTGCAGTTCTACACTTACATAAATTATAATACAATAAGGAAAGAATATATATATATAAAAAAACAGCATATGGTACTGGTTGGCACAAATTAACAAATTAATAAATTTGTGCCAAAACCAGCTCAAAGTCCCATTCAAAAAAATAAATACTATTTTACCTGATCAATGTTCCTTTAAAATTGAAATAGTTTACGATTTCAAAATGTATACAAAATATTCATAGATATAAAATTAACTATTTATATTCCTTGCAACTATGTGCTTTTTCATTATCATTTCTAGTGATCACAATAGGTTAACATAACTGTTAATAGTAGTAAGGTCTAAGGCAGCGGTTCTCAACCTGTGGGTCGTGACCCCTTTAGAGGTCGCACAACCCTTTCCCAGGGGTCGCCTAAGACCATCTGAAAACACATATACTCTACAAATATAAAGTATCAACGAAAATAATTTTTTTGTTTGGGGTCACCACAAAATGAGGATCTTTATTAAAGGGTCGCGGCATTAGAAAGGTTGAGAACCACTGGTCTAAGGTATACATTACATATCACTGTAATGGGGAAATGGATAAGAAAAAAGCATAAAGAGAAATTCACCTGCAACATTTAAGTCCAGTAACTCAACTATTGATTTCCCTCCAATGATCACATCAACTTCTTGAACATCTGAAACTTTTGTGACATATTTCACACTGACAACTTCATTGTTGACAAGTTCCTTTATCTTTTCAGTTGCAGAAACTACAACTGAGAGTGGTATGTTAGTTTGCTGACATCTAGTGGTGAAAGGTGGTATTAATGATGTTGACAAATCTGAGGACAGGGCAGCCAAACGGTCAGCACTCACTACATCTGTGTTCCCAAAGTCAACAAATCTTACTGTGTACTGATTATCTGGATCACAGGATTCCACAGTGGCTCTATACCAGACATTATCCTCTGTAAACTTAGCACAAACTGTGTCTCCAATAGTAACTTGACTCAAAGTGGTGACTTCCATCCCTTCAAGCTTGTCAGCAAGTTCATTTAGAGAATCTTCCATAGCTACAAGCTGGATATAAAATGTTCCATCTGCCTCAACATGAGGAATATAGACTTCGATCTTGTCACCATCTGAAATTTCATATATATGTTAATTAATGTTTTGAATCAGTTAAGTTACTTAAATGTTTACAATATGTACACATTTTTTTTTTTTAGAAATGGAAAATTAGTGTTAAATATTTGTTAAAAATAAAAAAGAATATGCATCGATTTTATTTTTTTACCTGCTCCTGAGTTGCTAGTCAAAAGCTTGGATACATTCATTTCAGATGTACTAGTGGCAGGGCTCTCTCGAATAAGTGCAGTTTTGACAGGGCTGTCTGAAATAGGTGCAGTTTCGACAAGGTTGTCCGAAATAAGTGTAATATTGACAGGGCTGTCTGAAATTGCAGTTTTCAAAGAGCAGTCTGAAATAAGTTCAGTTTCGACAGGACTGTCTGGAATAAGTGATGTTTTATCAGGGCTGCCCGAAATAGGTGCAGTTTTCACTGGGCTGTCTGGAAAAGGTGCAGTTTTCACAGGGCTGTCTGGAACAGGTGCAGTTTTCCCAGGGCTGTCTGGAACAGGTGCAGTTTTCCCAGGGCTGTCTGGAACAGGTGCAGTTTTCACAGGGATGTCTGAAATAGGTGCAGCAAGATCGAGCAAGTCAAGCTCAATACTTCTGGTCAGAGAAACCCTCAAAGGCGGTGTTGTTGTATGAAATGTAGCATTGAGAACTTTGCCCTGAGTCATGTCTGTAAACTTGGCTCTCAGGCTCTCGTTCCAACGGTCGGCTACATCATTCAGACAACATTCCAAAGCAAATGGTGGCTGTTTCAAAAATTGGAATTCAAGAGCTAGAAGTGAACTTAACTCCACAGAGGTGGACTTTCCAGTATCTACATGGCGAATTGTTGCCAATGTGTCACTAATCTGAAGAATTTGGCTTCTAAGCCAGACACCATCAGAATCTTTCACAGCACATGGTAATCCAGTTTCAGGTTTCTCTACAGATTTTACAGGCTCTGTGTTGTAAAAAGCAGACAGACAGGTCTGCAGTTCAGCAATATCTTTGTAGTCTTTGTAAAGCTGAAGATAGAAGTGACCATTGTCCTCAATGTGACAGACAGCTGTAGGAATCACCTCCTTAGGGACTGGTTTAGGTCGGTAGCTGTTGGATGGGCAAAGGATTTCTTGCAGATCTTGACCATCACTAGTTGTAATCTTGACATCATATGGAGCTGATGTTCCAGTGAAAAAAACAGTTAAAGGATGTTCCATGTAGCTCTCAGACAATTTAGCACTAGCCTCAATGGATAGAGGTCCCATACCTAGAAATTGACATTGATAAGCTAAAGGAGCGCTGGCAAGAAGCTGACTTGAGAGTGGTGCAATGAGTGATGGACTAACAGAATCACCGTTCCCATAGTCTACAAACTTCACTTGAATAGTGGCATCTGCAACAGCACATATGATTGCACGGTACCATGCAGAATCTTCTGAAAATACAGCAGCACATGCTGCCCCCACACTGATGTTTGGATGCTTCAAGTTTGAATTTGCATCCATGACTCCACTAAAACTCTCCAGTAATGCTGTATCTTTCTCCAGCTGCAAATAAAAGTAACCATCTTGATCAAGGTGTGTGATGTATGCCTGATTTTCACCTACTGGTGGTGTTTGAGGAAGGAATTCTTGCTTGGGCACTGACGGTGTACTTTTCTCAAAAGCTGGTGATTGTGTACTAGAAGGTTTAACAGATGGACTGATTCCAAACCCACCATGACCTGGAGATTTCACACTTGTTTTTTTCTCTCCAAATCCACCTTTTTTGGGGGATGTAGCCTCTCTGATAGCACTTGATGCTTTGGGTGAAATTATGCTTACTGGGGGTTCTATCTTTCCTGTTAAGATGCCAAGCAAATCTCCTTCTGGAGTTTCGACATCAACCTCATATGGTCGTGTTGTGTTTGTTATGAAGTTTACCATGAGCTTTTTCTCTAATGTTGCTTTGGCAAATTTTTCTGCTTGTTGGACTGACCAGTTGAGACCTCTTAGTTTACATGGGAAAGCCAGAACTGGGAGTTGCAAAAGGTCAGCAAATAGCATTTTCAAATCACGAGCTGAGCTTTCAGTTACATTACCATAGTCTACATATCTCAGTACAACATTGCCACCCTGCACATCTTCAACCACGCACCGGTACATGCCACCATCGAGTGGGAACTTGGCACAACACACAGAACCCTTCACTGGAGTCTCTTTTAGTCGTGGGCCACCACCATTTTTGTAGCTGCCTGCCATCCGCTTGGATAGAAACAGAATATCCTTCTCCATTGAAAGTAATTGAATGTAAAAAGTTCCATCATCATCCATGTGAGTCAAAAGAGCTTTTTCAGGCTCTGCAGGTGGATCAGGGTAAGTGAGTTCCTCCCTAGGTCCACTGGAACTGGATGCTGAATCTGAACTTGGTTTTATTTCTTGTCGACCACTGCTTCCAAAGTCATCATTACCATGTCTAAGACCTGAGGTTTTTTCACGTCCCCCAAAAGCTATGTCTCTCTCATTTCGGTTACCACTAACATTTCTTTTATCCTCATGCTGACCACCAAATCTTCCAATACCTCTACTTTCAGATATGCAAAGAGAATCTTCCCTTGGTGCACCTGAAAAACCTCTGCTACCAAACTCTCTGCTCTTTTCTCCATGACCTTCGTCATAATTGTCAGATTCTCCTTTAGAAATATTGTTGAAACGTTTGCCCTTACCATCCTGTCCGCCAAATCTACCAGAGCCACCATCCTGTTTTATAGGACTTACCCATGGACTGGCCTCATTCGTGGGTTTCCTTTGTGTGGCAGACATTTCCACTGTGCTTGATTTGCAGAAGCCTGCTGTGACTAACTGTGACACAATGTCTTGTCCAGAATTTTTCAACTTGACCACAGTGGGTGTAACAAAAACACATTCCATCTCTTGATCCATGACAAGAGCTTCAAAGAATTCAATGGCTGAAGTTGACCAAGTGGTTTCCTCAGTGCCACTTAAAGAGCACTGAATGGCCATTATAGGAACACTGGCAATTTCTGGTAACATTGTTCTTACATTTTCTACTCCGATTGTTTCTTCATTACCATAATCCACAAACAAAACTTTGCACTGATTAACACTGACAGATGTAATTAGCCCTCTGTACCAGAGACTATCTTCAGAATATAGCGCAACACAGGGATGCCCGACTTGAGGGTTGCTTAGTGGTGCAACCTTACTGCTATTATCATACTTCTTTGCTATTCTGTCCATCAATGATTCCAATGCTTCATCAATACCATTCTCTTGAAGAAAAAACTTGCTAGGTGATACCACCCATGATATAAAAACTTTGATTGGGTAGTTAAGAGCTGGAGTTTTGGCAGGAGCTAAGACCAAATTCTGCATGACAGAAGTTTGCTTTCTGTTCTGCTCTTGAGTACTTGATGCAGCCTTCAACATTTGAGATATTTTTTTTTTGCTGTCATACAGTTCAACGATGACTACATCATTTGAAAAATCAATCACTTCCAATTCAAGGTCCTTTTCAAGCACAAGATCAAAAAAGACATCAATGTTATCAGTATCTGCACCTAGAGACAGGCTGCAGTGGATGGCTTGCATAGGTAGATCCAAAAATCTAGGCTCTGGCTGACACACGTTACACTGAAGAACTTCATTGGAGCCGTAGTCCACCAAGTGAACTTCATAACCTGTGGCTAGTGTTTTAACTACAGCAGCCCTGTACCAGGCACTATCTTCTTTGGACTGAACTATGCAGGCCTGTCCTACAGCTGGTTCTCTGAGGGGTGTACCACCTTCATCTGAATAGTGCATGCTGAGCTTGTCCATCAGATCATTAAGGGCACCAGAAAATTTATTCAACAGGCACCAAAAACTTTTTGGTGAATCAACATGGCTCACTGTCACCATCTCTTTTTGAGATTTCTCAAGATGAATTTTATTTGTGTAAAATGATCCATGAGAACCCTTAACTGAAGTGGAAGCATCACTGACAACCCTTAGGGCTATCAATTCTTTGGATACATCTTTGCTTCCCACAGTGAGTTTAACCAACCTATGAGAATCAGTCTGTCCCACAACCTCACAGCTGCAGCCCTTTTCAGTCATTTTCTCCAAAAAATCCCTGGCATCATTTGTCCATGATAAGTCACCCTTTCGAAGTGGTCTGACACCAGACAGGGCACAACGTGTTGCAAGGGGGATAATTTTCCCAAATTCAGGTTTGACATGTCTGAGTTCAGATTTAGGGAGTATGTCCGAATTGCCATAGTCAAGATACAATACTGCGACAAGATCATCTTCCAGCTCTTTGAGGACAAGTCCTCTATACCACATTTGATCATCCGGACATCTGACCACAATAAAACCTCCAGGACTTGAAGGAGCAATTGGCTGTGGGCGAGAATAAAACTCCTGAATTTGCTCTGTCATAATGTCAAGTTGGTCTTTTGCATCTTGTTGCTGAACCCAAAAGTTGCCAGGATTTTCAACCCATGATAAAAAAACATTGACTTTACTACCAACTGGCATTATCGGTGCAGCAGCAGAATCATCATCAGAACTTACATTAAGAGCAGCTTCCTTTTTTGGTGGATCTACCTTTTTACCTAATAAAGGCTGCAGCTGACTCCCAATGTCCTTGTTCTCCACTATATCAAACAATGTTACATGGTAGGTGTCGCCTTGCTTACTAACAACCTTAACCTCCAGCTCCTTGTCACCCACCAAATTATCAAACAAGCCCTGAACATCAGGGTTGTTATCTGTTGATTTTAATGACGCATTGGACAAGCAGCACTTGACGGCTAAGGCAGGAAGCTCCATCATTTCTGGTTTCAAATTACACACAAACTCTAAACTGACAGATTCTGAGTTGCCATAATCCACAAAGAATATTTGTGCACTATTTGCAGACACACTCTGGACTATTCCTCTGTACCAAGCCTCATCCTCGCTGAATTTGGCTGCACAAACAGTTCCAGGGGAAACTTTTGTCAAGGGCTTGATGTCTTGTGTCATGTGCAGTCTTGAGAGTGTTTCTGACAGGATAAAGATGTTATTAACATAAGCTGTATCTTGGCACCAGAATTGGCTTGGACTATGTGAGTAAATAACTGTACCAATTATCTTTGTGCCAACACCCCAAACAGTTTCTTTAAATCCTCCCTCTTGATTTGGCTAAAATGAAAAAAAGAAAAAGAATTAATCATAATCAATTGTCAATAGCATATTATCAATTTATTTTGATTACACGTTTTCAATATTTTCTTAATGAAACAATTAATATTTTGTTAGCTAAAAACAAATTTAACTGACTGGATTAATTCGTAAATTAACTGACTGGATTAATTTGTAAATTAAATGACTGGATTAATTCATAAATTAACTGACTGGATTAATTCGTCCACCACTAGGTACGTGTAAAGTGGGATGTTGAGCACCAAACATTCCATTAATATAATCTCCATCTTCACCATACATTTCAACCAAGTAAACCTGTTGAACAAATAGGGTCATGTTATAAATAAAGAAAGAAAAGGCTCACTAGAGATAAATAAAATAAATTCACTGGCTAATTTTATGTTATATTTTACAAAATACTTCCAATCAAACCTAAAAGTAAAAAGAGCTGAACTTAGGTTTTCAAATAAATAAGAATGACAGAAGTACCTCATCTAACTCCCTTTTGCTTCTGAACACAGCCCTGCAGCCTTTGTCTAAAACTTTATCTTCAAACTGAACCATGAGTTCCGGAGTCCAAAACCCCTGGGCACAGGACACGTCCGCTAAGGCACATCTGTTATGGTCAAATTTAAATTAATGTTTTTAAAAAGCTAGATAACATAAGGGGGACTGGGTTCAAGCCGTTTGAAGTAAATAAATATCTTGTTCCAATATTTATTTTAAAAAAGCTAGCAGAGTTAACATTAAAAAAGAGGCAAAGAGCAAGAAAGTAATTTAAAAATGTTAACTACATTTTAAAGAACTTTTAAAGCACTGTCTACTTTCAGGATTAAATCTTTTAAAGCTGCTTAATCATATACTTAATCATTAATTATACCTGTAACACTGAATAGGATATTGAACCAGATCAGGATCTAGTGCCTTAAGGCGGTCCTCACCCACGTAGTCTGTGTTACCATAGTCTACAAATTGTACTTCAATTAAGCCATTGCCCATAACACCTGGTTGAAAAACAAAATTAATCATGGAATGCAGTGTATTTTTTTTATATAGTCTAATCTTACAAAGCACAACCTGGGTACTATGGTGTCTTAAGATTTAAGGGAGAAACATGAAATGATTGTACATGGTCGAAATTGGACATGGCAAGTTTAGAAGAAATGGAAGGAGAGACTTAGTTTTACGTTTAATTGAAGGATTCCAATCAAGCGAGTTAGGAAAAATAATAATTTGCAATGAACAAAAAAATAGCTTAAGAAGATCTTGTAGTACCTGTAATTTTGGCCCTGTACCAGTTGTTGTCATCAGTAAACTTGGCAGCACATAGAGTCCCAACTCTCTTTGAAACAAGAATATTATCAGCTGGCCCTAGGTTCATGTATCTAGTTGCAAGTTTGTCCATAATATCATCCAAGATTTTTGCACGACTGTCAACATGTACATAAAACAGTTCCTGGTGTGTTACATGAGTGGTAAACACCAGTTCAGAAGCCCCTGGTTTTATAGAATCAATGGGGTAGTCTGCCATTTTTTTAAGGTAGATTTTTTCCTGATTCAACTTGGCACTTCAAAACTGTTTTGTTTTTTTTTAAAGTAGGAAGAAAATTAGTATTATTGAATAGGCTTTAAATTCACCAATATTAAAGTTACAAGAGAATTAAATATCAAAGATCTCAACCAACTTTTGTAAATTCTCTAAAACCTTTAGCTTAGGCATAGGTATTAGGGCAAATTTTAAGGCCTTTGAAGTGGAATAAAACTGGAATTAGTGGGTTTTTTTCGTAATTCGTTTTAATTTGTATGATCATTAATAACAGAAATGAAACACTGATGAAAATGCAACTTAATAAACTAATGCTACACATAGTCAATATAGTATTTTTATACTATTACTAGCTAGAGATTTATTCATGTCATAGATGTTTGATTTCTTTTCTTAGTTTAAAAAATTTATATTTTAAAATTTTTTTGTTCAAAAATTAATGTCTGTAAAAAAATTGAAAGTTAAAATTATTTCTTTGTAAATTTTATTTAATTGAATTGTCAACCCTGCATGCAATGCAAAATTATAAGTTGGTGAAGTATTTTATAACTTGTCCATTTGTCATAATACCTGCCTACTATGACAATATGTCAATGTTCCATGCCCATGAAAATTATATATTATTATATTAATAAATATATATCCCTAGTCTACATCTTAAATACAATTATTTTTTTAGAGGGGGGGGGGGGG